TTAAACTTTGTATAAATATCCCATCAAGCATATTTATATTTAGTGAATTAATAATAAACCACAATAGCATTTATGATAAGCTAGAAAATTTACTAGAAAACATGTGACCTATGTCAAATTATATCAACTATTGTCTAGTCTAACTGTCAAAAAATGAACTAACTTGTTTTCATCATAAATTTCAATTGTTTACTATTTTTAATATGTTTAAACATATGGATTGATCATATATTTACCACAATGTTTTATTTAAAATATATTTTAAATCAGAAAGGATAAATGATTGAGAATTTAAGAGATTATTGTTCATTTACAATGAATTTTAAATGTAAGTAATTTTTATTTAATTAATTCAATAAATATAAAAATAAATTTATCATGTGTTTTAAATTTGCAATATTAATTGCATATAAAAATTAAATTGAAAATTAGTTTCTAACGAAGCATAAAAATAATTTTAATAATAAATAAGATAAAAAAAATTTAACAACTCATCTACAGCATTTTATTTTATGATAATAATTACAATTTATAATTTTTTAGTAAATCTAACGTGTAAAACATATGTGGAAATTATTTATAATAATATTTAATTGAATACGGTAATAAACATTTATTTATTAAGTTTATTAGCATTAACTATCATAATCCAGATACTCTATTAAAATAATTACTAATACCGAGACAAAACAACTAGATTATCAAATGGTAGCCTTGATATTCAATTAATAATTGACAATTATGATTTGACAATTTTAAATGCCTAACACTTGATTATATTTGCTATCGTCAATTTAATTAAGATATTAATTGTTATAATAATACCAAATGTAAACTATTATATCAACATTAAACTAATTTTTTCTAATCAACAAAAATTAAAACAATATTTTATCATTTTAAAATTTTTATTAATGATTAAATTTTATGTTTGACATAAAAAATTAAAGTAAATGAGCCTAATCATAATTTGTTCCATAGAAATATAACTAATTATAATACAAAACGCTAATTAAATTAATTATTTCGTAGTCTTCTGTTTAGACCTCTCGATGGCCTCCAAATCCAACACTTTTCGGGCAAAAGACTTGATATCGTCGGACATGAGTTTTGGCTCTTCAAAGGCCCCGAAATGGCCGCCTCTGGGCATATCTGTGTACTGAACGAGGTTACGGTACTGGTAGGCGTTCAGGGCTCGAGACCCTCGCATTAACTCATGGGGAAAGTCGGCCACAGCCGCCGGCACCGACTCCGACACCGGTATCCTATTATTGAAAATTAAATAAAAAAACAAACTTGTTATTATTTAAAACAATAATGCGTTTACTACATGTATACTGAACTGATCGAGTTGTAGTTCGTAAAACTTGGCCATAGTTTCCTTATAAAAGCGCATACTGGACGCCACGTTATTCGATGTCCAATAGATCATAACGTTTGTCAACAGCTCGTCCATGGTGAATTTCTGGGTGAGCGCGCCGTCCGATTTGGTCACGTAGTCCGGGTTAGTCCACGTCGAGAACTTTTCCAACAAATACGCGGCCAAACCGACGGGACTGTCGACGAGTGCGGCGCCCACTGTGTCTGGTTTAGTGGACTGGATGTGCATATATCCCGACTCTCGCAACAACCAGGAAAACTTGTCCAAAA